GGACGGCGGCGGTTAGGCGAAGCTCCCGGCGTTGACCTGGGCCTCGCCCTGGCGGCCGTTGCCCCTCGTGGCGAAGGCCGCTCCACCGCTCACCTTTCCGCTCCATGGCGAGACCGGTAACCGCCAGGCGCCTGCGCACTCGAGTGGCGGTGACTCCCGCTCCCGCCGCGGCCCCAATCCAAGCCCGCGCACTCTCCGCCCCCCGGTTCCCGCCCCGCCCCCGTCCGCGACGGCGCGCGCCTGCGCGTTGGGCTCGGAGCCTACCACCTGCTCCCGAGGTGGGGGGGCAGTAAAGAATGCGGGAGTAGGGGGAAACGTTCGAGTGTGAAAATTGAAGGGGTGTTTGAGAAACAAGGTTGGAAGCCTGGCAGGGTCACCTTTGTTCTGTTTGCCGGGCGGTTACCCATGAGGAATAACGAAGAGCATGGCATTGAAGGTTCCCTGCGTGATGAGTCAAGAGCTCCGCAGCCAACTGTAATCTGCCTCAGTTTCCTGGTCTGTAAAATGGGAGAGTCAGTTGTGTCCCAGTTCCTTCACTGAGTTATTGAGGGCCAACTGAGATACTATATATAAAGTGGAGATGGGGGAGGATTACAAGTGAGAAAGAAAAGAAGTGTGAGCAACACAAAAGAAAGACTGGAAGGAAGGAACCAGTGACCTTATCGTCGCTTAAAAAAGTAAAAACTTTAAAAGTGAGTTTTCTCTTAAAATTTCAAATTCAAATGAAGGCTATAAAGGAAGGAAGGGGGAGAAAAAAAACTAATCATGTTTTCTTATTTTACCACTTAATCATCTTTGTAGTACATGATAAACACAGTTGTCTATTTTTTTTCAGTTGTCTTTATTTATAGAATGTTTTTATACATTTCTGAGTGCATTGTCTCATTTGATGTTCTTGACACTGTAAAGGCAAGGTAGGTACTACTTCCACTACACAAATAAACTAAAACTTGGAGGGGACATGTACTCAGAACTTGGTGTTCAGACACAATGATTCAATCATCAAATTAGTGTTGTAAAGCAGGGTTGGCAGAGTTTTTCTCTAAAGGGCCATACAGTAGACATTAAGGCTTGTGGGCCATAAGCTCTCTTAACTATTCAGCCCTGCCACTGGAGCTCAAAAGCAGTCATAGAAAATAGGGGCTGTCAGTGTTTCAAAAGTTTTATTTATGGTCCCTGCAATTTGAATTTCATGTAATTTTCATGGATCAGGAAATATTCTGCTGATCTTTTCCCCACTATTTAAACCACCCTTGGCTCAAGCCTTAGTTTGACAACCCGGGTTGTAAAGTTCTGCAGCTGGACAGGGTGGAACCTCTGTAGACCCGTGCCCTTAAAGAAGTTAGGCTCTAGTGGGGAAAACAGACAAGTAATTAGTTGAGAAAGGAAGCTGAAAGTGCAAGAGTGCCACACAAGTCAAGCATGGGGGCTCAGGCAGGATTTTACTGAGCAGCGTAGTCCAGCCAGGGAGGAGGCAGCTTTTAGGCTGGGTCTAGGAAATGTGTAGGATTTCCATAGGTGGAGAAGGACATGACAGGCATTCCTGAACAAGAAAATCAATTGAGCAAAAAGGCACAGACTTGGAAACTTATAGGCGGGTACTGGGGCTGGTAATGACTGAAGGGATGAAGTGGAACATGAGGCTGGAAGCGTAGGTTTGCCAACTTTGAAATACACATAATTAATATCTGTTGCATGGAACCTGAATGATAGCATTTCTGGGCATATTGCAAAAGAGGACAGCACCTGTTGGCCAAAGAAAACTGCAACCCAGTTTCCTCCCAACTATACTTGAAAACAAAAGGAAAGTTGGGGCAGAGAGTGAAGCCCTGGAATCTGAGGATTCTGCCAGCTCAGGAAAACCACATGTAGTTTAGAAAAGACAGGAGAGAGCTGGTGGCTGAGGAAAGTCCCAGAATCAGGAAATTACTCTCCACCAGAAAGTAAACTCTATGAGGGTAGGGACCCTGTTTGGGCTTTCCTTGCTGTATCCTCAGTGCCTAGCACAGTGTCCAGCACTTACTAGGTGCTCAGATGTTTGTGTGATCAAAGAATAAATCATGTGCAGTTTATGAGAAAGGTCTGGATCTGGATGAAAGAGAGAAAACAGAGAGGAACAACAGGATTGTTAAGCCGAAACCCGAGTGGGTTGGTGCAGATCCATCAAAAAGAAAACATGTTTAGCTTGGCATGAATCAGTCGTACGTATTTTGACTCTGAGTGACTGTTGCTTCTCTAAGTGCTTACCAGCCATCTGTTTAATAACTCATTTGAGAATTTTTCCAGATTCAGTGTCGAGGTCACTGGACTGAGTTCCCAGAATTGACCATTTTTCCTTTTTTGTTTCATCTATTTTCCCCCATCTTCCCAGCATGCTTCAATTTCTTTACACTTTTTCTAAAAACCTCTATAATTGTTCATATAAGCTACTTTGGATTTTTCCCCCTATTCTAAAGCCTGTATCTTTTTTGTGCTTCTTGCTTTAAATGTAGCTTTAAAAATCACTTCACCTCTATTAGAAATTAGTATTGAATAAATGAGCATATATAAATAATATAAAAATATTTATATATGTTATATATAAAAGTATAATATATAAAAAATATAATATATTAAGAAATATATATATATTTCTTAAAGAAAAAGTCACTTCACCTCTCACCACTCCCCTACAATCTCACAGGACTTCTTCTATTCTGGATTTTACCCTTCCAGAAATTGTTCTTAAAAGTGGTGGCCGTTCTTTGGTATTCTTTCTCAGTTAAATGGATACCCCTTCTCCCATGACTTCTGCAAGTGCTTGTAAAAGTAGAAGTATTTAGAAAACATGAGCCATTGTGTTTTTTACTGCTCATAAGCAGTATCAGAATTTGATTTCTGCAGAAATCCCATTCCTCTTGAGCTACTTTTTAAGAGTGCCATGGGATCTTCCCTAATGCTTCTTTGAAATTTCTGAAATATGAGCACCTAAAGTGTAGGATACATGTTTGATCACATCCAACATTCCCAGCCTTGACTACCATGAATTCTCACACTTTTTCCAAAGTTTTGATCTGAGTTAAATCCAAAGTGTCACTTCCCCTTATGGCTTCTCCTATGTCCTGTGAAATAAAATGGACAACAGAAGAAAGTGAAAATATATCAGATGCTTTATCTTGAATAAGATTCCCAGTAGATGTCTACATAATTAGAGTGCCCCAGTATAATTTTATCTTGCCTTTCTGATAGTTTTGTGAAGTATATTGGGAAAACATAATTCTATTTAGACTTCTGTATCAGGAAACAGAGGGCACATTCAACAGAATAATTGAAAATAATTGAACAAAGGGATTGAGGGGTGGACAGGGTTAAGGGAAACCAATTAGGGATGGTGAAGCAACCAGGGACTAGCAATAGCCAGCATCTTCACCATCCTAGGCCTGAAGGGACAAGGGGTGGAGGTGTTACCAGAACCCAATGAGAACTTTTATTAGTCTGCTAGGGTTGCCTTAACAAAGTACCACAAACTGGGTGGCTTAAACAACAAAAATGTATTGTCTCACAGCTCTGGAGGCTAGAAGTCTGAAATCAAGGTGTCAGCAGGGTTGATTCCTTCTGAGGACGTGAGGGAAAGCTTTGTTCTCTTCCCTTGGCTTGTAGGTGACTGTCTTCTCCATGGCTCTTCATATCATTTTCCCTCTATGTATGTCTCAATCTGTGTCCAAATTTCCCCTTTTCATGAGGACATCAGCCATATTTCATGATTAGGTCTCCTCCTAATGACCTCATTTTAACTTGATTACCTCTGTAAAGTCCCTATCTTCAAGTAAGCTCACCATCTGAGGTACTGGGGGTTAGGGCCCCAATATATCTTTTTTCGGAGAAGGAGATAACAATTCAACCCATAACAGAGCTGTAGAAAGAGCTGCCCAACAGCTGCTGTTCCCTTTCATAAAGGGATATAACCATGGACCCACAGGGAAGTAAATACCCAACTTCTTTCTCCAATCATCGTCTCAGGCTTGTGCCTCCCATTGACAAAACCCAACTGGAAATTAGAAGGCAAGGTTGCCTAGGTGATGCAGTCCATGCAAGCCAGCCTCCACAGATCCGGGTGGAGAAGGGTGGAGGGTGCTTCTGGAGGGGCCAACAAAATATCCAGCACAGCCTGTCCGGGCAGTCTATAGGATACACCCAGAGCAGCTAGCACTTTCCAAGCAAGTAAGTCAGCCTCTTGGGCTTCTGATCCCTAGAGAGGCTTGGGAACAGAAGTTACTTGGAGATAACCCCTTTTCTGACTTTGTTATATAAAAGTTTGAACTTCACAAGGAAATTGTGCCAGAATGAAGGGTTGAGGGAAGTAGGTGGATGAGATATAAGAATAAAAGCCTTGACTTGGGAAACTATGAAATTTCTTTGAGGTCTCAACTCCTTGTCCTTTTGGATGCTCTGGCCACAGCATGAAGGCTGGAGGAGTGGAGGAGATTGGCAATGAGGAGGTTACTGAGACTGGTGGTGGTGGAGGCAGGTGGAGCCCTTGCTCTGCTTCCTGGAGGTGCTCTGGGGAGGCAGCAGGGTGTTGCAAACTGACCTATGCTGATCGTGTTTGACTCTTAGTTCCTTATTCTTGGTAACGATAGCTACCAAAGTTTAACGTGACAAGAGTTTGTCTGCCCCGCTTCCTCATTCCCCAGCTATAAAGAAAACAAATTTTGACTAAAATCTGCCGCACACATATTTGTTGACATTCATTAGCAGGCAGGCACAGAATAGCTCCTGTGACCTATGTACGTTCTTTGAGGTTTCTCTGGCCACAGGGTCAATTTCTCCAGTTTGGTAATCTCAGGGCCAGAGTGAAGACAGTTTAGGAAATAACATAAAAATGGGCAACATTTGAGTTCCAATTTCTACCTGCTGTGCAGTGTCAAACCCATTTTTCTTTTCCTTCTTTCAGATACTTTCCACCAGGCTCACACTCAAAACAGACATTTGTCGAGTACCCACTGCAGCCCAGGCATTAGACTAAGGGCTGTGAGCAGAGAAGAAGAAAATATAGGCCTTGCCCTATAGGACTTAATAGGTAACAGTAATGACTATTTACTAAATACTGTTGTCCCTCAACTCTCAAACAAACCTGTGAAGTAGGTACTATTATTATCATCTCTGCTGGACAGATGAGGAAGCTGAGGCACAACCAAAGTCACACAAACTAGGAAGAGTCAGTGTTTTGAATCTGGGCAGCCAGGCTCTCAAATTCCTACTCTTAACCACACACCATATCACCTGTCTAGTTTAGTGGGGGATTATAAATATAGTAGATGTACAAAGTGCCAAAGGACCACAAACAAAGAGGCCCACTCAGCTCAATTTGAGAAGGGGTAAGGAGAGGGGCAACTCTTGAATGAGATGACACCTGAGCAGCATTGGAAAGCATTGAATAGGT